AGAAAATATTTGTCATTGGATATATATTACAGAGTAATCAGAAACTTATTACTAGGTGTCTGTGCCTTAGTGTATATTAGATTAGGTAAACTTCTTCACTTGGTACTTAGAAGACAAGTAAGATGCAGGTTCTTCCCACAATTCCCAGTACAGATGTTCATGACAGCATACAAATTTCCTCCATAGAATACAGTACAGTAAACCAGAAACTTAAAAACATGTTAGAAGAAGAAAGTAGGCAGAATGAGAGTAAAGCCATGGAGCTGTTGTGTGATAAAAATCCTCTCATTTTGCAGCTGCCTTCCATTCCACACAGCAGCCAGGATGCACGTAGACTCAGAGTTAACTTAGCAGAGTTAGAAATTCCTACATGCACGGACCTCCTGAGTAGCCATGATATTAGGGAACCAGGTGAGCACGCTGGGTAGAAAAGTGTTTAAAAGCTCTACAGTTATTGTTCGAAAGCTTCTGTGTTGCTTAATTTTTGTCAACTTGACACAGATATATCTGGGAGGAGGGACTCTCGGTTTAGGAGTTTTCTCCATCAGATTGGCCTGTGGGCAAGTCTGTGAGGCAGTTTTTTGGTTACTGATGGATGTGGGAGAGCCTAGCCCATTGTGGGTGGAGCCACTCCTGGGTAGTTGATAGTAAGAAAACTTAATGCTGAACAAGCCATGCAAAGGGGACACCAGTAAGGAGGGCTTCTTCATGGGTCTCTGTTTCAATTCTTGTTTCCTGACTATTTCCCTTCATGTTGGACTGTGAAGTGGGAAGTGTAAGCCAAATAAACCCTTTGATCTCCAAGCTGCTTTTGGTCATGTTTTATCCCAGCAGTAGAAGGCAAACTAGGCCAGTCTTGTGGCTGGAATTACGTAAAACAGTAGATCACTGTAATATCTTCCCTTCTAAGATTTCTCGTGAATCCTCTGTCACTAAGAGCCTGTTTATCTTTGCCACTATGTCAGTGTTCTTGGCAATTTCAAGCTTACTTTTCTCTTTGAGTGTCTTTTGGGTGTTCTTGTATCTTACAATACTTACAGAAAAATTAAAAAATGACATGTAATATGAACTTTGTTATTGTGATACAGTGCTTGTAGCTTTGTTGGTTGTCAAGTTAGGAAGAAAATGCCTTTTTAATCTGTTGTTTGCTACTATTTATGAAAAAACTTCAGTTTATAATACTCCAAACACCTTTGGTTTTTCTCTTTTGATAATATTATGCATGTCACCATTAAGGTTTAAGGTTGTTTCTTGCAGGTTTTAATTGTAGGCAAGCTTAAAATGTTAACTGTTAAGTGGAATGACTTTTCCTGGTTTTGCTTTTTTTGTTTTGTTTTGTTTTTTAGCTCAGACCTGGGGAATAAATACCAGTGACCTTACATCTTGTACTGAAGCAGTTCAAAGGGCCTTAATTGTAATACTTTAAGATCAATAAAGAATGTTGTTAAGTGTATTCAGTTAGGCCTTGTATTTTGAATTTAGATTTTTCTTAAAGTGCATTTTCCCTTTTCTTTAAATATGTGAAATAATGACATTATTTACCAGCAAACATGAAATCTATAAATCATCCTATTTAAGCAGGAACAGTTGTCGGTAGAGCTTCTGAAGCCGTTGGCTTACTTCTTCCCACTAGGACCCTCCACAGACCAAGGTGCTCAACTAGAATCTGGGACCCAGCCGTCCTAGCCTTCTAAATCTATGCCAGATCTTTATTGTTTGACAGTACATACAGCAGGAGTGTTTTTAACTAGGTGTGTCTGATTTTGTTCTTGATTCTTTACTTTCTATTGTGATGTGATGTGATGTGATGTGTCTGTCTGTCTGTCTGTCTGTCTGTCTGTCTGTCTGTCTTTGTCTCGGTTCATACGGAGGGCAGAGGTCCATGCTGGGTGTTCTGCAGTCACCTTCCATCTTAGTTTTTGAGGCTGGGTTTCTTTGTTGAGCTGGAGCTCACCGATTCCAGACTGGCTGGCCATGCACAGAGCTCAGGGATCCCTCTGTCCCACACCAAGTGCCAGCTCTTTCCTTTTTTTCCTAACTTGGGTGTGGGAGATTCAGATGAGATCCTGAGGTTTGCATACTGAGCCCTTAGACAGACAGGATTGTTTCCCCAGCTCCTCCTTACTGTTTTTAAAAGACGATCTCCTTATGTAGCACAAACTGGCCAACAAACTCTAGTCTGTTCAGTCTCTGCTTCCAACATTTTGGGATTAGAGGTATATGCCACCATATTTGGCTCTAATTTGCTCATTTTTATATAGTGTATTAGAGTTTCCTGGAGGAGCAAAACAGAATTTATTCTTGTTGTTATTATCATTATTATATCAGCTAACATTGAAATAGAACAGTTGGCTCACCTTAGATACTGAGTACTGCTAGTTGCTCAGGCCTTGAGGCTGGGTGCTTTAGCTGTCCCAATCTGGTGCCCCAAACCTGGCGGGTTCTGGAGACTTTGGGTCTCCTGTCAGTGCAGGAATGAGCTGCAGCTGGAAGGAGGAACTGAAGCAGCAAGGAAGCGGCAGCAGGAGGGAAGGCCAAGCCAGTGGGACAGCTTTTCTTCTCCATGCCCCTTTATCTGGGCTGCTGCCTGAATGCACTGTCCACACAGGGTGTTCCCAGCTCACTTAAGGCTATCGGGTACAGCTTCCTCCCCAGGTGATTCTAATTTGTGCGGAGTTGACATTTAAAGTGAGCGTTTCATTCAGCTATCTGAAAAACCTTTTAAAGACTCAAATAGCATAAAGTGATTTTTCTTACAAATAGTTTCTCGGGTCCTTGAAACAAATTTCTACCCATGACTTACGGAAGCGATGGCAGATGCTGTTATTTATTCTCCCTGAATTCATCTTCTAATTCTTCACCAGAAGATAACTTGATTTTCTTGAGACAGCTGTGTGCTCAGCTATAAAAGACTTGTTTTTCAGCCTGTTTTTGTAAGTGGGCAGGTGACACTTTTTTTTGCTAGGAAAGCATAGGTATGCATACTTACATGAAGACAGTTTCTGCTTTACTAAACATTCTGTGTCCAAGCCTTTTTCTTCCTCTGCCTTCTCTCTTGTGTGGGAATCATGTGTCCAGCTCAGACTTGTAGCACTCTTATGAGCACAAACTGAAGCAAGTGAACACCAGAGCAGAGAATGCCGAAGTGGACAGGCTTTTCAGCGGTTTCTAACGCCATTGTTAAGTGAGCATGAGCCAGGTGAAGTTCTGTACTAGTGTGGTGGTGTCACTTGGAGCTGCCTGTGTTCCTCCTGATAAGAAGGCCTTACCTGTCTTCTGGACCTCATCTTCTCATGTCTACTGTGGACATGAGCTAGCAACAGATTTGGCCCTGCTAGACCCTTCCTCAAATGCAAGCTCCTTACCTGGGCTCATAGAATACCAGTGGCCTGACTTGACTCATGTCACCCAACCCATCATTGTCTTTTCCATCCCAGTAGGAACAAAGCAACAGCCCTTCAAACTCCCCAGGAACCTTGCTTTTCATAACAGGAAGGGTAGGGTTATGATGGTAGAGGGAGGGAGGAGTAGAAAGGAGACCCTGGGACCTCTAACTACCATGCTAGATCCTGTTGTGCCAGGATTAAGAACAGCAGACTGGGACCCTCAACCTAGATCTGACCTTAATACATGCATGTAATTAAAATGGTATAAAAGCAAAAAGGAGGAGGGGGATGGGATAGGGAGGAGAAATGGGAAAAGGGGATGACATCTGAAATGTAATTAAATTAAATATCCAATAAAAATTAAAAAAAAAACCCAGCAGACTGGACACATGGCTAGCACTCTCTAGTTTTACTATTCTGATATAAAATTGAGCTACCCCTTCCCCCAATCTCAGTTTAACTCGATGCATTGTCCAGGAGACGTATGATTTGACTTTGTAATACATATCTATGAATTTTTTTTTTTTTAATTTTAGGAGACTGCCTTAGTACTTGCTTTCCTGAAAATGAGTGGATTTCTATAGATAGCATGGAAGAAAAATAGCATCTATTTTTCATGTGGTCTTCATTTCTTTAATGTATCCATGAAATTGAGGAAGATAATGACTGTTTTGTTATTCTTTAGTTTTATTTAACATGCCAGTTTCTAAGTTGATCAAGTAAGTAGTAGTGTGGAATTAGTGCCACAGAGTGGGACAGGTTACTAAGTGCTCACATACCCGCTTTTAGAGCATTGCACTATAGTTTACAGTTTGTCACTGTAGTATGATTATGTTCATGGTATCAGTGGCCATTTTCCATTTCTCTTGGTCTCACTAAATTCTCCTCAAGTTTGACTTTGCCTAATGTTGTCTGTGGTTCCTGACTACCGCCAGTGTCCTCCATAGCCTATCTCACCTGTTTGGTCATTACACTGCTTCGGGTCCTAGCCAGTGGTTCCCCTTTCCTTTTTTTTAGCCCCAAACTGTGGCACGTGTTCACAGTATCTGCTTCTGTATCCTTAGATGCATCTAGTTTCACTTTCCACCTTGTTTCCCCAGATTTGTAATCCTGTCACAGATAGCTTTATTGAACTATCTGTTGTACACAGTTTGGCTACTAATCCTAGTAGTATGTGATACCTTCAGAATATCAGAAGTATTCTGATATCTAACATACTTAAATATAAAATTTTTGTCAGCAGTTTTTAAGTATGAAGTACGTGGGAGCTTATGTATGTGATTTTGTTACCTGTTGTAACACTGTTGGGCAGAAGTCATGTCATTCACTTGCATTTCTGACACAGTTGCCTGCCACCGCAAGCAATTAAGAAATGGTTTCTGAGTCAGCCACTCAGTAACAAGTAACATTTCCCTTCTGGAAATAGGAAGGTCAGCTTGAACAAAGCTAATGTTTTTGCTTGTTTTGTTTTAGCCTTTTTACTACAGTAGAAAGTATATATGTATAAAGTGTATCTATAGTAAAAAGTAAGTAAATGGTAGGGTACCGTACCTCGGTGTGGATCTCGGTAAGGGTTTAACTTGATGTATGGAACCTTCCTCTTCTCTTGTGCAGGCTTTGGAAGGAAGGATGTTGTAGAACACTTGCTGCAGATGGGTGCTAATGTCCATGCCCGTGATGATGGGGGCCTCATCCCACTTCATAATGCCTGCTCTTTCGGCCATGCCGAGGTGGTCAGTCTGTTACTGTGTCAAGGAGCAGATCCGAATGCCAGAGATAACTGGAACTATACACCTCTGCATGAAGCTGCCATTAAAGGGAAGATTGACGTCTGTATTGGTGAGTATTCGTGCTGTATTGTTGCTGCGGTCTAAGCTTGCAGTCAGTTCTAACTTAAGGTTGCTCTCGTGTTTTTCCTGTGGTGTAACCAGGGCCGCCTCATCATGTATAAAGGTGTGTGGCTTCTAGAGGAATTCTGTTCCCTCCAAGGAAGTAGTGAGCTGAAGTTAAAGGTGGTTAAGAGTAAGACTGGACTTGGCACCCTCAATGAGGCAACTTGGTGTCAGCCGTGTAGAAGTAAATTCTGATTCATTATTCTCTTCACGTGTAGTTAACTTAGGTCTCTTATTAAACAGCTGCATTTAACTTTGCGTCAGCCAGAGCCACACAAGTATAAATTCTTACTGAATCGGATGACATATTTGGTTATTGTAGGTTGATTCAGAGAAAATAATCAAATATTTTGACAGATGTCTTTAATTTGCAAAAATTGAACACTGATAAGTTTCAAATCCAGTAGTTTCAAAGCTGAAATGTGTGTGTTTGGTTTTGCTTTGTTCAACTTGACACAAGCGAGGATCGTATAGAAAGAGGGAACCTCTGTTGAGAAATACCTCCATCAGGTTGGCCTCTAGGCAAGACTGTGGGGCCATTTTCTTGATTAATGATGTGTGAGAGAGCCCTGTCCCCTATGGGCAGTGCCATCATCCCTGAGCAGGTGGTCCTGGGCTGTGTGAGAAAACAGGCCTAGCAAGCAGTGGAGAGCAAGCCGTAAGCAGCATTCTTTAATGGTCTCTGCTTCAATTCCTACGTGGAATTCCTGCCCTGCTTTCCCTTGTGATGGACTGTAAAATGAAATAAACCCTTTTCTCCCTAGGTCGCTTTTGATGTTTATGACAACAGTAGAAAGCAAACTAGGACTGAGAGAAAACAATTACAGAGAGAATTGAACTTTCCAACCATTTTAAAATTTTGCCTTATTGCATTAACATTTCTACTTTGAAAGCTAATTTAACCTCTTAAAAGGCAAATGTTTAGTCTCCTGTGGGTCTCCTTTATTTCTTGATCCTTCAGATGGTTGAAATGTGTTTAGCCCATGGCCAAACTTTGTATTCTTTCTGCATGACACACAGTGACTCTGCCTCTGTGGGTATCAACATTTTATTGCAATGTTTTCTTTATGCTAAAGGATATAGGCCATTTTTAACATGTTCTGGTTAAAATTTCCCTTGATAGTGATTACAGCTCTTCCCTCATAGCCATTTGTTCTGGTCTCCAGTATAATTTCAGGTTTCCTGAAATTGTAGTTAGTTTCCTGTCAAGTTCTCTGCCGTTATCCTTAGTCACTTTCACATCTTTTGGCATGATGCATTGACTATTCTTTTAGTGCCGTGCCATCTGTTACATTCAAATGGATGTATCTTTTCCTCCTGGGCCTTGCACTAATACAGTCACATCCTATCAACCCATTTGTACAACTACCTGATAAAGCTGAACTAACCGCATCCTCTCCGATCTTGAAGTTCTGGCTTGCCTTTTCATATGTGGTAGCTGTTGTTGAACCCCATAATTTTTTTTTGTCTATATAGCCTTTTAGCTTCTCTATTGTTACTGTACCTGACACTGTGTATCCACTGGGTTTTTCTTAGTCATTGGTCACAGACTTTCATGCTCTTTTTAGTTCCTAAAAACATGGTCTCCACTACAGCATTTTTTTATTTATACATCTCTGGATTTTTCATTTTGTCATTACTTTGATTTTTTTTTTTTTTTTTTTTTTTTAGTTAGAATCCTTTTTCCATCTAATCTTTGTACCAAAAATCAGATAATGAAATATTTTCTTTAATGTTGGCTATGTTGAAAAATAAAGATTGGGCCCCTGCCACCACCACTTCCTGTAGTCCTCTACAGGCTTTGCATGGAGGGCCCACCCTCAGTTTAAGTTCTTGTGAATTGTAAAAATTGAAAGGTGAGAAAGGGAACCTTTGACACCTTTGAAAGGGAACAGTAGCCAAGGTGTAGCTACTGTTAAAGTATCTACTGCAATCAAGATGGAATGTAGCCTGGCATGGTGGTACCCACACTTGGGAGATGGAGACAGGTGAATTTCAGAGTTTGAAGCCACTCTGGTCTACAGAGTGAGACTTTGCCTCAAAAAAACTCTTCTCTATATTTAACTTTTTAACTTTTGGGAGCCTTTTAGTATGCCTTCAAAAAAGCTCTGATAGCATATGCTATAATTCATCAACTCAAGCATAGTTAAATTCTGAAATATTCTCATGATGCATAGCTGGACAAAATAGGAAACCTGTCCTTTTTCATTTTTCGTCTGAGTCTGGTAGTTTTGAGGCTGGTGTATAAAGTAGATTTTAAAAATGCGTTCACCTAGATGATAGGATGCTATCCTGATTTAAAATGTCTTATTATGTCTCTGATTGTGAATAGCTAAGACAATTGATAGTCATAAGGGTAGAGCCAAATCACATGACTGCTACCGAGGAAAGCAGTGGGCAGATGCTAGGCTACAGGTTCTCCTTTTCTATCCTTACTCTCTGGTTTTCCACTGAAACCAGGGACTACAATCACCTGTTTCAGTGATGTGCAGAAAGGAATAGTCTACAAAATTCTCCCTGTCCTTGACCACATTACCAATACATGATACTTGGAAGGGTAATAGCTATAGTATACAGTCAATAATAATAATGCCTATTATTAATTACTAGTTCTATCATTGTTAAAATCTAAAATGTAACTTCTATATGAGGTACTTTGTTCCTCTGCCCGTTTTTGATAGTTTAAGAAGTCATGTGAACAGTCTTTAATCTGTTTCTTTCATTGCTGCTTTTTAGTTATCATAAAAGGAGAAAATATAGACAATTTTTATAAAATTCAACTTTAAATGCTTGTAAAAATAAACGAACTGTTTACAACAGTAATGGGGTTTACTCAGATGTTTATGACATTCTTATACGGTGTATAACAACCCAGATGTACTTTAGAAGTCAGCTTATTTTCTCTTTTTAAAGCTTATTCATTTCTTCCTGTCCTCAGAATATAATCCCCAGAAAATTAAAATAAGTATTTATTGAACATATGTCATGTGAATAAAGAAGCTGGTTGGGGTCAGATCTACTTTGTCCCATTCCAGACTAGGAGTGACGTTTCTGTCAACCAGGTGCTCCATTCCCCAGTGCTAGGATTCTGATTGTATAGCTGTGCAGATATTAAAGAATCATTTGTAGCAATCGATTTTTTTCTTCAGTGCTGGTAGTGGCCTGGCTATGATGTTCCTACTAAAGAACAGTTAATTTCCTTCTACTGTGTAGGGGTTTGGTTTTTGAGGTTGATCCTATACTTTCCTGTCGTTTCAACTTGAGGTAAGCTTTTGTCTGTATTATTTCCTTTATGTTGTATGTATGTATGTATGTATGTATGTATGTATTTGTGCTGTCTATCCTTGTACTCTGACCGTCTTAAGATCCTTCTTCAAAGAGTTGAGTGATCTAGGGAGGGTTAGTTTGCTGGTTCTATAGCAATTTGTAAGTGTGTGTCTGTGTGTCTGTGTCTGTGTCTGTGTCTGTGTCTGTGTCTGTGTCTGTGT